GACCAGTTTATATTGACAAGCAGTCATTACTTATGGCAGTGTTTAGTCAAGCTTCTTTTGCTGCAGTATAAATGTTCATTTTGCTAAATTGCAAGTCAAGTATGCTTGGCCAGGATCTCTTACCTCTGCTACAACTCATTGAACCATTTGCATCACTAAGTCATAGTCATTTAGTCAACCGCTCAGGTACAAACCTTGATGAAATTACCAAATTATATTTGGCAAATAGCAGCCGATGTTTTGTAAATAATAATCCCTGAAGCTTTCCTGGGAAATGAAACCCTCCTAAAAAGATCTTAAAGTTTTAAATATTCCTTCAAAATTTTTGATAGGTAAAATATACTGTAGATTTCTTTCAGTTATATAACTTAGTTTCAAATCCAGTTGCCCAAAAGATGCCACAAAGGGTAAGTACATATTTAAAAAGTAAGGACCTAACTGGTCAACTATAGGTTTTTATTGCTAATGTTCTTTATTTCCCTCTATCAAGAAAAATGTTGTCAACAATTTTTATGCTTCTGTACCTTAAGTTACAAAAAGAGGAAATAATGTAAATGTATCCACAAATGAGCATGGCTTAATGTTCCAAAATTTGGGCATCTGCACTCAAGAAGAATAGATTTTCATCATTTGAATCTGATCACAATATTATTATAATTGAAGTATTGTATCACTTTTTCTCATTGCCACTGTCACAGAGTGAGTGGATCTGTAAGGAGGTTAGAGTTCATCTACACCTGAGCCCGCCCTACCCCATGTCCCCAGGTGGAAGAAATGAATAAAGTCATGTGACAATCAGATGACTAGGAGCTAGGTGCACTGGGAGATATAAAGGCAGTATCTCAGTGAGAGGAGAAGAGAGCCAAGTAGAGAGGAATTCCAGGGAGAGGAATCTTGGGAGTCTGTGCTCTATAAAAAATTAGGAGGGCAGTCAGGAAGGCTGGTAGTATAGAAGAAACCCTGGGAAAGAGAAGCAAGACAGGTAGTGGTTATGGGGGACAGTCAGTCCAATTATTTAGTGTTCCCCGGGCCAGGAACCCATAGAGGGTGGGTGTCAGTTCCACTTGTAGTGCCACTCTGTTTGCACTCTCCCACCCTCCAGTGTCCCCTTTATATAAGTGGGAAGACTGGACTGAATAGAGCCCTGGATGTCTTGTTGCTGAGCCTGGGAAGGAAGGGCTGGAATTAAGGTGACGAGAAGACAGACCCTCGGGAAGGAATGGCTATGCCTAGGGACCAAGGTGGAAGATTTTTATGTGTATTTGGACTTTGAGAGCCCAGAAGGGGTTCTTGTGACTTGGCCAGAGGTTTAAGTCACCTCAGCAGTGGAATTGTGCTGATGGCCAAGAGAATTATTGGTAAAACTAGGAGAGAAACTGCGTCACAGTATTTGCAATGCCTTGGCAGGCCATAAGGGGGTGTGCTCTTGGTCTGTATCCTGCAACAGTCCCATTAGCGTGTTTTATTTCCTCCTGAAAACTTGATGGTTTAGTTAAGAAATATTATTGAGAAGATCTAGTGTGGGCTGGGGAAAAAGGGGAAGTACCCCCTTCATCACCCCCCCCCATCCCTTTTCTAGGTAAAAAACACGGTGCATCCATAATGAAAACTATTTAGGGAACTCTGCCTTGTAAAAAGGAGAGGGTTGAAAGCAATGATGATACCTAGAGAAAAAGGTGGGAGATCCTTGGTATGCTTGTGGATTTAGCACCCAGCCTTGTAGCCCTTACTCAGATAAATGAGTTCCATTAAAATAATCAGTGGAATTATTCACCTGTGTAGGTGCTGCAGGATTAGGCCTTTAGGTCCTGATGCTGGTAACATTTATTCCATGCTTAACTTCATGCACGTGAGTAGTCCCAGTGAAAGTACTCCTGCGCATAAATGTCTGTACTTCGCCCCACGATTTGTACAAGGAGGATTCCTAATCAAACTTATAGGTAGGTAAGAGAGATGGAGGAAGATACTCTTGTAGGGGCATAAGGAGGGAAAAGAAAGGGAGAAAGGAAAGCAGAATTTCAAAGTTTAAAATGTGCACTTATATTCATTTAATTATGCATTTGCCATCAGACTTGTGAAGTTGCTGGCCTTGGTTCTGTTTCAGAAAGGATATGTGTCATACTATCATTACATTTTTTTGCAAAGGAGCATAAACAAAAGGTTGAAATGTTGACAGCTATGACAAAGTTCAGTACCATAGTGTGTCACCCGATAACTGATACTGTATAGTTTGTGGCAGTCAGCAAAGCATGGCGGCCACTATTCATGTGTCAGTTTTAAAAGACAGGAAGTGTTACCCAAAGGAGAGCGAATATCAGAATTTGACAGCCTGGTAGACACTTAAGGTTAAATGTCTTCTTTTGAATAGATTTAATTTATATATGTATTCATTTTATTTTATGGGTTCAAGTCTGAAATTCCAGGCTTGCAACACTTTTTTTGTTTATCTCATTACTTGGGGGTGTTTGTGCTGTGGGAGAACAAGCCAACATCTTTAAAGTTTCCTGGTAAAATAGAAGGGTACTAGATTTTAGATGTTATCTTTGATATCCAGGTTTTTTACTGCACAAAAATGCAAATGTACATGCAGCCAACAGCCAGCCACAGCAGAGAAATAAGTGCCTTATTCAATTTTTATTCGTAAATGTCCCATTTCTGAAAATATACTGTATTGTTAATAGATTATGATGTATAGCTTGGACTCAGTTGCTCCACTGCAGCCAAATTTCCTTCAGATTTCTCAGACTTGCTACTTTCTTTGCAAAACAAGAGCTTTAATTCAGAGTGTTAAATGGAAATTTAAAACTCTACATCATAGTCTTTTTTTTTTTTTTTCCCCATGAACATCTTATTATAAGATTCCAGGATTTTCATTCTGTCTGTGTCTCACTCTGAAGCCTAGAGTGTCTGAGTCAGTGCAAAGCAAAGGAAAAAGCTTCAAGGATGGTTGAGCGCTCTTTTTGTCTAGAATATTATCAGGCTCAATCATTACTGGAATTCATGGACTTTTATGTCCAATTTTTAAGTTTTCAGCCATTTTTGGCTTTTTTACACTTTACAAATTTACACCTGAATGACAGCACGGACTTTCACCTAGTTATAAATAATAAACTAGAACCACACTATGTATGTTAAGGTTATCCTCCTTTCTTTCATATATTCAGTTTGTTCCATAAGTTCCTTTAACTTCCCAAGCACTTATATTCATTCCTTCATATCTTCTGTACATGAAGGAGTGAGGGAGACTCTAAAATAAGAGTTGCTGTAGAAATAAAACTTCCGCCTTCAGTTTTCTCCAAATTAAGGGGAAAAACAAGCCACAAAGGTGAAGAACTGAAGCAGTATATTGTGGAACAGTGGAAGCTAAAGTGTCTCCTTTGCAAGAAATCTATCGGCAAAGTTTCAAAGAGACTGTAGTGAAATCATATAATGAACACTTGAAGCAGGAAAAGCACTGAATATATGACTAAAAAGAAATATTTTCTTTGTAACTTTTGATTATTTAATCTTTGAACTCTTATGCATGTCTAAAGTAAATAACACTCATCAGTGTTTTTCATATTAAGTCCACTATCTACTATACATATTTTTGGTGTATACAATATATAAAATATTTAGAAAGCAATTCTGGATGTTATAAATTGACAGTTTGGCTTCAAAACTATAGAATACTAGATCTCCAGATTTTGGGGATTGTTGTTGGTGAAGGTAATGATCTTAATTGCTCATTGGAGGGACCCAACCATCTTGCTCTCAGATTCCTTCAGCGCCTTGTGTTAAACTAGAATAAAAATGTACATGGATGGAGTGGCTGAGCAAAAAAAAGCAGAGAATAACTACCAGATGTATTCAGACCTGCCTCTTCCCCTCAAAGATTGTAGGCCACATCCTCAGCTGCTGTAAATTAGTGTAGCTCTATTGACTTCAGTTGAGCTTAACCAATTCCCCAGTTGGTAGAAACTGGTAATCTTGAGTGAAAAGTTCCTGGGATTTCCCTGCCCCCCCCCCTTTTAAGCTTCCACACAGTCTAGCCAGTGTTAGTTTTTCTCTGCTGAAGGTTTTTCCCTCTGGAACATATACCTCCCAACATTTCAAGTGGCTAAAGCGGGATGCAGCACCATTCAGGTTTTGGTCCATCCACATAGAGATGGAAGGGCAGACTGGCAAGATTTGATTGATGTTGCAACCTAGCACATGGGGTTGCAACACCAATCACATTTAGTGGAGAAGCGGAGATGGAGAAGCAGACAGACCAAATGTGAGTGGTGCTGTGAGACCCTGTGTGCCAGGTCACACCACCACCACTAGGTTTGGGGCCCCTCTCAAAGGGGGGTCCAGGGCAAACTCCATCCCCTGGGCAGCCTTGAATGGAGGAAATGTTCACTTCAACCAGGACAGAGGGTTTTTGGGATCAAAGCAGGACCGTCCAGCTAAACCCAGGACAGTTGGGAGGTCTTGGAGAGAGAGAAACAGGAAGGATGTTCCATCAGCAATTCTTCATTTCATTTTAAATTACAGCTAGAAACATCTCTTCTCCCTTGCCTATACATCTTAGGTCTCTCTATCCTTTGGCTCTTATTTCTTAGTAACTTTATTATTTAACTCTATAAAGTGTCTTTGGATAACCATTTTCTTGTCTTTTATTACATTAGAGAGCAATTAGTGGCTAACTGGATTCTATGTTCACCTTGTCATTGACTTCTTATTTTGTCTTGGACAAGTCACTTAACCTCTTCTCTCATCATACATATAAGTGGGTGGATAATGGTTACCTACTCTGTACCTTACAGATTATTGAGAAAGATAATTAGTTTGTAAAGTTAATTGAAAACTTTGGATGACAGATGCTATAGGAATGCAGAAATTATTAAACAAAATAGTTTTTAAGATTAATTTGCCTAATGTTAACTATTTTCCAATGTGAAAAGTGGACCTGTGCAGTCTTTATCTTGTTAATATCAATCATATTTTTGGTGCAAAAGAAATCTTTCTTTTTGTAGGTGCTCGAAGATGCAGAGTCTCAGCATTTGTTCCAGTCCATCTTGCCTGATATGGTGAAGCTAGCACTTTGTCTTCCTAGTATCTGCACTCAGGTAAGTAAGCTCAGATAGGTACACCCCCAGGGCAGATTAATTTCATATAAACTATAACTAATCGCTGGGGTCAAAATGACATAGCCATGTTATGTTTCTTATTGAACGCTGTGGTGGTTCTGTCACATTTAGCTGAGGCCTAGGGAACAGGGAGGACAATACATATCCATAATGGTACAAAAGAACATTAAAAACTCACTGTCCCATTTCTGAACCTTAATTTAAGCCATCAATCAAAATTCTATATATACTGGAATGTCTTGTTGTTCTTTCTAATGAAATGACCATGAAATTTTTAAACTTTGAATTAATTCCCCCGTTCAGAATATTTTAGTGGATTTATACCCTTTTGGCTTTGAAACTACTTTTAAAGCTATTTTAATCATATGTGAATAATGCTTTTGATAAGGCTTGCTTCTTTTACTTATAAAAATACATGATTATATTTACACCTCCACAGTATCTGTGAATATACTGTTCTCAATAATGATCATGAATGTTTTACTTTATTGTAATAGGGCCAAATCCTGCAGGTACTTCTTAGTTGGTATAATGCTTACTGCTGGGAATAATCACCTCAAACTCAATAGGACTGTTCATGTGAGTAAAGACTATTTAGATGAGCAAGCATTTGCAGGATAGAGCCTCTGATTTGTAAGCACGACTGTCTCAACTTTTTAAATAGTTTTTTTCAAAAGTAAGGGGGTTGTATTGGAATAGAAAAGCATTGCCCTGCTTAGTTATGCTAAAGAGGATGTTTACAGAGGACACAATTGCAGAAAATTGAAATATTTTCTGATCTTTTTACCAGTCAGTTGGCTGGAAGAACTTTTCTGACAGCTACAAAGCTTTTAAAAGTGAGTACAGCATGCACAGGACACCAAGATGATTAAATTATGCATATTTTAAAGGAGTTTTACTGCCTTGAAATGTTTCTATTTGAGAGATGAGTTATTGACCGTTGTATACTATCTCTAGGTCACTCTTTGAGTTTAGATGTAGCTGAACTTAAGATGCAGTACTGAAATCTGTTTTATACACCGAAATGACTTAATCTACAACAGCGGTATAGTTTAGCTAAATAAACTGAATTCTGTTAAACAGGATTTTTCAATCTTTTTCTTCCATTTTTTCTTCTGTGATATCGTAACCCAGTCTTACAAAGCCCTAATATAGATTGACAGATGAATATATGGAGAAAGAAAAACCTGTGGCCAAAAGAGATATCTAAATTAAGTGATTATAAATTTAATAACTTCACATTTTATAAAAATATATCAAAACATTCTTAATGAAGATTTCATTTACTACATGTCTCTTAGAGTTGTATGTCCAATAATTTTACGTATTGCACTGTTCACACAGGAAATTTATCTTCACAGCTAGTGCTAAAATATAATGACCCAGCTCCACTGAAGCTGTTCTTGTTGCATTTGCGGAGAACCAGAAGCAAAGATGGCAGTTGTTTAATTGGGAGGGAGGAGCTAGAAGAAGGGATGAAGAAATGTATTTTCATTTTTTTAAATGACTATTACAATAGCTACTAGCCCATTACTTAAATAATTTTAACTTATTTTGTAATATTGTATCAGATATAAAAGTGGTTCTTAAAATAAAATCCCTTGAGTGTTATGGGAAAAACTCAATCAAGGAAATTTTTCAGACTTCTTTTAATGCACAGTTAAATTTTTCATGCTGCCAACTATGATTAAAGTATAGCAGGGTCTGCTAGTTTGATTTCAGTTTCTAAAATTTAAGAGCATTAATTTCATCCTGATTTTCAGATATGTAATTGCTTTTGCTCGTATGAAAATGTGGCTTTGCAAAATCTGCATCTCCTGAAGTCAAGTTACCAAACCAAAATGGTAGATGAGGGCCAATTTAGTTTCCTAATATTATAGTAGACATGCCAATAGATTAGTAAAAATACAAAATGGTCAATTTACTAGAGATGAATGGGAATCTGTGCCCCTTTTTGGAGGTCTCCTTAGAAACTAAGAATGATAGCAAAGGACTTAATGCAGAGATTATTGATCTGCTAATACATTAGTGAAAATGCTGCATACATCTGAGGGTTTGCTTTCTCTTGTGTTGTCTAAAGTGATACATCTCTGATACTTTTTATTCTAACACATTCTATTCTGCCAATACACAGTTTCTCCTCTTTAATAAAACTTTTCAAGTATCAGAGGGGTAGCCGTGTTAGTCTGAATCTGTAAAAAGCAACAGAGGGTCCTGTGGCACCTTTAAGACTAACAGAAGTATTGGGAGCATAAGCTTTCGTGGGTAAGAACCTCACTTCTTCAGAGGCAAGTAATGGAAATCTCCAGAGGCAGGTATAAATCAGTATGGAGATAACGAGGTTAGTTCAGTCAGGGAGGGTGAGGTGCTCTGCTAGCAGTTGAGGTGTGAACACCAAGGGAGGAGAAACTGCTTCTGTAGTTGGATAGCCATTCACAGTCTTTGTTTAATCCTGATCTGATGGTGTCAAATTTGCAAATGAACTAGAGCTCAGCAGTTTCTCTTTGGAGTCTGGTCCTGAAGTTTTTTTGCTGTAAGATGGCTACCTTTACATCTGCTATTGTGTGGCCAGGGAGGTTGAAGTGTTCTCCTACAGGTTTTTGTATATTGCCGTTCCTGATATCTGACTTGTGTCCATTTATCCTCTTGCGTAGTGACTGTCCAGTTTGGCCAATGTACATAGCAGAGGGGCATTGCTGGCACATGATGGCATATATAACATTGGTGGACGTGCAGGTGAATGAGCCGGTGATGTTGTAGCTGATCTGGTTAGGTCCTGTGATGGTGTTGCTGGTGTAGATATGTGGGCAGAGTTGGCATCGAGGTTTGTTGCATGGGTTGGTTCCTGAGTTAGAGTTGTTATGGTGCGGTGCGTGGTTGCTGGTGAGAATATGCTTAAGGTTGGCGGGTTGTCTGTGGGCGAGGACTGGCCTGCCTCCCAAGGTCTGTGAAAGTGAGGGATCATTCCAGGATGGGTTGTAGATCACTGATGATGCGTTAGAGAGGTTTAAGCATCACCCCCATTCATCTAATTGATTGGTTAACTCTAACACCTAGTGATGATGCTTTAAATGTGAGCATTAACTACTTAATTGCTGATCATTTTCATGGCCTGAATGGGGAAGAGTTTGGGAGTGAAGCTCGTGGGAGATGAGAACTGGAAATTAACACAAGGAGAGAAATGTGCATTGAAGAAAAGAGGAAAGACAGAAGGAGGGAGAAAAACAGGAAAATAGAGGAGGAAGTAACACAAAGCAAAAATGGGTGTGGTTCTAATGGAAAGCATTTTTTTTCACTGAATGGTGTGGAATTTAATGATAAAATAATGAACAGTAATAACTAAAAGCTTAGTTTTTATATAAATGTTATAGTCCACCTTTGAGCTTTGTGTAAACTTCTAATTGCACTGTGCAAACTGGATGCTCATTTTGCAGTAGGTTTACTTATCAAAAGGAGACAACCTCCCTCAACCCTCCCCCCACCAAACAAATAAAAACACCCACTTCCCACTTACTGCAGCTCCATATTGCCAAATAATTTAGGGAGAGGGAAGCTGTTATATATATCTCTCTGTCCTTCAGTCTCTGCAGTGGCTCCAATATGCTTACCCTGGTTCTCTCCTTTTACCCACTCAAGCCTTCTGGAATTCCTACAGCCCTCCCAGTAAAATGGCTGTCCCACCTAGCTGCCAGCTGGGATGAAGACCAGCTTCCGGCACTTACCACCCCTCACACTCCCAGCTATCTCCCTCTCACTGTAGGTGTGTTGCTTGCAGGGAGTAGGGAAAGAAGATACCCTTTCAGAGATGCTTCCATTAAGTGTGTGTGTATTGCAGCCACAAGGTGTGGTGGCAGTTCAAGTAGACATACCTGTGCTAACTTTAATCTAGTTAGCTTGGGTCCTAAAGTAGTGAAGCCACAACAGTGTGCACTTCAGGTTCTTGGGCTCATACAGCTCATGCTGAAACATGTGCTGTCATGTCTTCATTGCTCCAGGACCCAAGCTAGCTTTAATATAGTATGTGTCTACTGAAATTGCAGTCACACCCTGTGACTGCAGTATAGACATACCCTAAATCTGTAGCTGCTGTCTGGGGCAGGGTAGCATTTCTATAAAGGGGCAGAAACCTGCTCCCCTCTCCAGATCTTGTAGAGAACTCATAGATGCAGCTCATGATGATTATAAAACCAAATACTGAAGATTCTTTGTAGTGTATGACCCCTGTTAATTTGTTGGCAGAACACCCAAATGGAGCTGCCAGCAAGGAGAGTCTGCTTTGGGCTATAGCCCCTTTTTAGTCTCTTCTTTAGTTGACATCCATGAGGCTCTCTCCTGTTCACTATAGAACATTTTGTGGAGGGGAAAACTTGCAGAATATGCTTAGTGCATCTGTTAACATTACTCCCATGAGTTTAAAAGCCATGTTTGGTGTTCAGATAAGGAGGGACCATCTTCAGTGGCCACAGATGTTTCATTACTAATGAGCAAGTGCCTTGTCAGAATAGTGAGCGGACTCAAAGACCCGGTGAACACTAGAAAATTAGGTTGATTTAACTACGTAGGCTGGGGTGTGAAAAATCCACACTCCTGAGTGGCGTTGTTAAGATGACCTAAGTCCCCATATAGACAGCACTACATCAACAGAAGAATTCTTCTGTCAACCTTGCTACTGCGTCTCAGGGAGGTGGATTACCTACAGTGATAGAAGAACCCTTCCTGTCGGAGTAGGTAGTGTCTACACTGACGTGCTACCGTGGTGCAGCTTTGCCACTGTAGTGGACAACCCCAAAGGCTAGTTTTGCTTGATATGAGCTTATAGCTAGGGAGGGGGGGAAATATTCTTTGTAAGACACTGTTCTTTATTAGTCTTTATTTAAGACTTTCTGGTTTTTCATGGATAACTTTGAAAGTTGGTGGCTCATATTTTCAGTATTTCTTTTCATTTTCTGGCCCCCAAACTTTTTTGTTTTGGTCTTCATTAGGGGTATTTTAATAATAAAAAAAAAAGTTACTATTCCACTCTGGCTAATTATACTTCCCTTAAAGTATTAAATCTTTAATTATGGTGTCCTGGTCTTCATAACATTCATTATGTGGACTTGTAAATTCTTTGGAGAGAGGCATCTTCAACCTGAGGACGTAGCATGGAATTGTGAGATTAAGGTGGATTGAATATAAGTGGTAACAAATGGTGTCAATGAAGGTTTACTCACACAAGTTACAAATGTGGATAGTTTGTAAGTAGGCTCTGTACAACCTTCTCGATTCATTCTTGCCAGTGCATGTCATTCCTGATCTCATCCCAGGCCTATTCACAGCTCTGCTAATTTACTTTAGTCTTGTCCTGTAAATGTATTGCCAAGTGTGGTCCTTTTTATATCATGGACTGCTTTTTGTGCTGTGGACAGATGCCCATTTAGAATGAGATTCTCCAAATTGGTTTCCACTTGTGATCAAATAAGATTTGAACAGTGATTCCTCACAGCGAAAATGGTGAACTAAGTTCCTTCCAACTCCTCCACTCCCTCCAACATCTTCCTCCTCAGGCATATCATAAAGAGACAAATTCTAGTTTATATACTGCACATATTTTATAGGATGGGGAGACAGAAAGAGAGCTTTCAAATTGATAAGCCAGTAATAAAATAAATATATAATAATAATGGTGCTTGTTGTGTTTGTTCTTTAATTCAAATTATATTTGAGTCTTTTCTAGTTATCTAAAACACAAAATTGGACGAGGGAGTCAAAATAAATTGTCGAGTAATTAAATCTTTTATAGTTAAGGTGACATTTGTCCCCTCATTTTACAGCTGTAAATGGGTGATTGCTGTAATCATACATTTTCTTTAAATTGTGCGACAGCATTGTGACAATATGCTGGGGTTCCCAGAATTGAGAGTTAGTGTTAACCCTCTCAGCCTCAGCAGGTGAGAGTTTTGCTATTGCTAAGAAGTGTGACAACTCCCTGACACACCAGCTTGTCAGCCTTCCCAGTAAACTTCAGGACTCTGTCAGTCCAAATCTTGCCTTGCAGGTAACAAACTTCCCCAGAGACATCTCCCTGTAATATTCAGTCTCCTTAGTGAACAAACAGAAGTTAAATTTGTTGCTCCTTTAAGGAGACAGTATACTGCAGCCTGTTAGCTTAAGTGGGTTTAACACCTCTTTCCCTTCAAACAGTGCACTGAATTGTTTTATAGTAAAAGCAGAGCAAATTTATTTAACAAAAAGGGCAGAGGATTGAATGATGCTAAGTATAAGGAATAAGGATGAAAGGTTACAAACAAACAAACAAAAGTAAAAATACACTTCTAAGACTAAAACCTGATTCAACAAACTAGACTTTCTTGTTCAAAGAAGTGTTTCTCAAGTCTCTTCTCCAGCATGGCTGACCAGACTCTCTGGCCAGGACCCTTCATAGATCTCAAACTGCTCAGTTCCTTTGTCCCTTCAGGTGAAAGATGCCAAAATGGCCTTTTCTCTCTGTTTATATCTTTCCAAAGTTCATTGACTCTGCTTCAAGAGATAGGCAGACTTCCTGGGGTGCAGTCTTCATCCCCCATTGAGATTGTTAAATGGTTCTCTCTCTCCACTTGCTCTCCTGATGGCTTTGTTTATCTTGCACGTCAATGTGCTTTTCTTTGTCTTTGGTCACATCTTGCCTACTTTTCAGCGGGGAGACATTCAAGCAATCAGAATTGTATTTCTTTGGAACAGTTGTAGCTTAAACATTGCTTGCCAAATACATTTTAAGAACATAATTCTGGAACATATTTATTACCCTTTGTATACACCTCTTACATACACCATGCAATGATTTTGGGACAAGTATGTTACCAGTTTGTATAGATATCTTACGTAACACCTTTTAGATACAGATCATGACACCAATGTGTGGGGTAAAGAGAGTATGTCAGGCCTGACAAGAGTTGCTGAGACAGTAGTGAACTACCCACAAGAATAACTTTAGAATCCAGCTGCTGGAATAAATAAAATATAATATATCTTACTTGATTTTAAGATTGCCTGGTTATTACTACATTCCGTCTGTTTCCACCTCTGGAGCCTGTTTTTTCTCTGATAAGTTGTGCTTTGTTGGCCTTATTGTTGCTGATTAGAAATCTGCTATTTGTCAAACAAGCTTGTTCCCAATCATCTTAGTTGAACAACCCTTGACTTTAATGGTGCTGCTGATTTAAGGACCAACCAATGGCTCTAAATTACTCTTGTTCTAATTTAGCAAATGTAATTTTGTGCTCCTGTTTTTTTTTTTTTTTTTTTTTTTTAAATTTTTTTTTTTTTTTTCTCTCTCTTTTTTTTTTTTTCTTCATTCCCTTCTGGTAGCCAATACCTTTACTGAAACAAAAGATGAATCACTCCATCACAATGTCACAGGAGCAGATCGCTAGTTTTCTAGCCAATGCTTTTTTCTGCACTTTTCCACGACGCAATGCCAAGATGAAGTCTGAGTATTCTAGTTATCCAGACATTAACTTCAACAGGTATGGCATTTTTGAATAAATGGAGCAGATGACCCTTCAAGGAAAATATTGTAGTCACTTAGGGGAGAATCCTGTTTTTTCTTTCACATCATTAAAAGGCAATTAACACCAATTCAGTAGTTGGTTTCTTGCTTCTAAAATTATAAGGAAAAAACAGGAAACAATTTAATCACATTATCCATGGGAAATATGAGGGTCTTGTGGATGAAAAGTTAATGCTTGATAACAAGGCTGACCTACCCTAATCTATTCACAAACACGCACTGGTTTAATTAAATCAGTGCAACCCCCTGTGTGGACACTCTTATTTCCATTTATGAACATTTATAAGCTTAATGAAAAGTGCTATATAAGCGGGGCCGCCCAGAGGATTCAGGGGGCCTGGGGCAAAGCAATTTTGGGGGCCCCTTCCATTTAAAAAAAAGTTGCAATACTATAGTAACATATTTGGAAATGTAAAAAATAACTAATGAAATACATTCAAAAATTAATTTGTAATAATTTGAAAATACACTAAATACATTATTTAAAAACATTAAATGCTTTAATGGTATGTATACACTTGCAATTACATAATGGGCTGTTGCTGGGTGATGGGGATGGGTGCTGCTGCTGTTGCCAGGGCTGGGTGGGGAGCTGGGCTCTGGGTTGGGGGGTGCCCGGCTCACAGGGGCTGGACTCAGGACTGTGGGGAGATGGGGTCAGGGGGGTGTCCGGCTCAGAGGGGCTGGGCTCGGACTGGGGGTCAGGACTGTGGGGAGATGGGGTCGGGGGGCCTCCGGCTCAGAGGGGCTGGGCTCAGAGCTGGGTGTCAGGGCTGTGGGGGGATGGGGTCGGGGGGGTGCCCGGCCCCGGCCCCTTACCATGCCGCTTACCCCCTCTCCTGGAGCCTGAGTGCGCCACGTCCAGCGCTGCAGCGGCGTGGTGTTTCCAGCGGGGCCTGAGCTCCCGCCGCTCAGCTGCAGCTCACAGCCCCGCCCCCTTACCAGCTGAGACGCCGGGGGTTGTGGGAAGGCGGGGGCGGAGGGGAGCCTCTGACATACTCCTGGGGGCCCCTGTGGGGCCCAGGGCCTGGGGCAAATTGCCCCACTTGACCCCCCCTCTGAGCAGCCTTGTATATAAGAGCTAGGTATAATTATTGTTGTTAAAGAGTGCCTTACTACTTTTTAGCTTCAACCTGTTCCTAGTAGACTTAAGTGAAACTGAAATAAATCTGGCTTAAACTGAGTGTGTCCACACAGCCTTTTGTGCACTGGTTTAGCTATGTCAGTTAAAATTGCACCTTTAGCTAAAACTAGTGGAATTCTGAGTGTAGACAAGCCTTTATTCTCCCCTTCATGGGCTCAAACTTGCACTGAAATAATTAAATTGATTTTAATTCACACCTTTTGTTAAATATTATATTGGTCTATGCCATGTTGTCTGCCTCTAATGCCTGCCTGTCCCTCGTTTTTCTCTTTAAACTCTCTGCCCATCAACCAATATAAATTCCTACATTGTTTCATCACCACTTTTTAAATCAAAGTATCTCGAACCTCCTGCTCAGGTCATACCCTAAAACAAACTAATCCCTTTATTTACATAGGACAGAATGTTGCCCTTACTTGCATGCATGCATGCATGCATGCAAGGCTACTGATGCTGTGCTTGGGAAAGGAAGAGAACATACAGTGTCCCTGAAAAGTGGAACTGTCTTTGTTCTCAGGGCTTATCAGAGTCCCTGTTGCTTTTTACAAAAAACATGTTTTGTCATGGTTTTTGTAAACACTTGCAAATTTTAACCACTGAAGCTGGTGCAATTAACATCAGACTGGCTGAACAGGTATCCCACCACTATCCCCACTAGTTCTGTTACATAGTGGAACCATGGGTATGCAATCCTTCATAAGTCCTTGGGCTACTCCTCCATTGCATTAGAGTCCAATCCACATGGAGTCGCTGTCTCACTCTTACTCCAGGCAGTGCTGTGAGTGACATGTCTACAGAAAGATCAGCTGTACTGCAGCCATTTGCTTGTGGTTGTAGTCATATCCTAGGCCACCATGAACTCTTCTTCCTATCTCCCTTGCACCAGTAAAGAATAGACTGGGGAAGGGCACCTGGTGTGGAGGGAAGACAAGCAGCTGACAGCGCATAAGGAGAGAGTGAATAAATATTGCAGAGACAGGGAAAGATTAATAAGGTAAGAGCTGTGGAGGAAAGGATGCAAAAAGCAGATTGAAAGATGGAGGCATTCAGCAATGAGCAATGGGAGAAACTGACCGAGAGAAGTAACACTGTTTCCTACCTCACCTTTAACTGTAACGTGGCCCCGTTTGTATTTTGAAAAGGGGGGAGTGGTGGGGAAGAAAAGGGCAGAGTCTGCACCATTTTCTTCCTACCCTCAATGCCAATGTCATCTTCTTTCCACATTTCCTGGTTTTTGAAGGTGGGAAGGAAAGGGCAATAAAATAAATGTCCTTAGCCATTAGTGGTATTGCATGCTTGTAATTAGGACAGAATTTGTCCCATTACATTCTCTAAGACTCGAAAATACAAACAAGCATTCATGAGCTGGCAGCATATGTACAAAATGTACTGGGCAGTGTCCAAAATCATAATTTGTGATTGTTATAACAATGCACTCCACTTTTGAGGAATATTAGGGGCTTTTTTCCTAATGTGGTTAGAGAACGCTATATTAGAAGTTGTTCTGCTGCAGCAACCCTGCTTTCCCACAGCAATATGCTAGGGCATTGAGACTTAAACTGTGTGGAAACTACTACATTTTATTTTCTGTATAACTGAATGAATTACTTCCATTGCTTGTAGAAATTCATGTACTATACTCCTTTAATGAAGCAGAATAATTGTGTGCATATTAGCAAATTTTTGTGATTTTTTTTTCTTTAACAAATGCATTATTCCATAATTAAACTGACTTTCCGTCTTCCCAACATTTGCATAATACACATTTTTCTTCCTACCAAATCTTTAAATAATAAAATTTGTAGCTTAAGGTAAAAAATACATGTGCATAAGAAATTTCTTAATCAAATGTCTTTAACTTCATACAACAGTCATGTTCCTAATCTTTTATTATTAATTTGTTTTATTCTACAAAGAAATGACTAGGTATGCACATGCTTAGTGATTGTTTTGGAAAGGACTATAGAATCATGGGCCAAATATAGGTATTTTTCAACCCTGTTAATTTTAGGACCTGATGCTATGATTTACTATTCAATCTTGTATCTCACTGGAGTCTATGGGAGTTGATGGTGCTATGCACCTCACAATATCCATCCCTCATAGTTAACAATGATGGACTTTTGTTTCAAAGTAAAAATGATCTGTACCCTCATAGTTGTGTGGATTTCGCTTTTATGTCAAATTGCAGAATGAACCATGCCCCTTTCACCTCTATTCATTTTAAACACATTTAAAAATTGGTACTTCATAGATGATTAAACTGAGAAAGGTCTTAAGTCTCATTTAAAACACTTTAAATCTGCTGTCAGAAAATGTCCCCCTTTTCCACTCTAGGGCTTGGCCATTTCAGGTAATAAAATGAAATGGTACACTTGGTATGTACATATTAAATAAAAATTGTCACTGTTTGCCTACTGTGATTTGACAAGACTATCAATCTGTTTTATCAAACAAGCCATACTTGGTACAAGAGATTGAGAACATACCATTTATTTTATTTCCTGTAAACCATCTCAAATGTGCCACTGCTTGTTATGTGATGATGAAGGCAAGTTTCCTGAGTGCTTTTGTGCATGCTGACAACTTTATGGTCATCTGGAAGGGAGACCGCTTATACGTCAGTGTAACATAAGCCATTTTACACTTTGTCCTTTCCAATCCAACTCTTGCTATTGTCACCTAAAATAAATATATATGTGTCAGTACATCTTTGACTTTGTGGTGCTTAATTTTATAGTACATTGTAACATTTTCATGTAAATGTAGATTGTACTTCCTCCTACAAACTGAGAGGCCATTAAGTAATAATATAATAAAGTAGTAAAACACTTGCCAATGTGATTAAATACATCCCTTTTAAACCTGGCAAGGATGTGCCTTTGTGGGCTTTTAAAGTTGTCAATAGTATAATATATAAATTAGAAGTATATCTGATAAAATGGAATTGTCTCTAAGACTCTTTTAGGATTACGATGCTAAAATGTTGCCTTAGAATTGTAATTAGGACAATGTCTATGCTACTTCTTTTCAAAATGTTTAAAATGTGAATAAAAATATTGTAAGCAATATTTGAGAAGGGAGAGAGAGATGAAGTTGACATGGAAAAGATGCATTTTAACTTGTCTGAATTAAAAAGAGAGAATTGGGGAATTTAGGTGTTATGGTTGAAATGCCATCACAAAATAAATAGTTATTAAGTTTGTTATTGTGTGACACCCTTGTTGATAGACTCTGCAGAGAGGTCAAGCACCGACTGTGCTTAGAGAATGAACTGCATTTTTCAGTCCTAAAGGTGATCCTTCTAGAACATAGTTGAGGCACATTGTTAGGGTAGCTGAAGAAACTTATGCTGCTTCTGCTCATGGTGTATCTGTTCTGTGAATAGATAGAGAATCTGAGTTGTGTCCAGGGCTTATCTATCTAGCACAGGGGTGGGCAAACTTTTTGGCCTGAGGGCCACATCTGGGTGGCGAAATTGCACACAGGGCTGAGGCAAGGGGTTGGAGTGCGGGAGGGGAGGTAGTGTGTGTGTGTGTGTGTGTGTGTGTGTGTGTAGGGGGTGCGGTGTGCCGGAAGGGGCTCAGGGCAAGGGGTTGGGGTGCAAGGAGAGGTGCGGAGTGCAGGAGGGGCCTGAGTGGGGGTTGGGGGCTCAGGGCAGGGGGTTGGGGTGCAGAAAGGGGGATCAGGGTAGGGGGTTGGGGTGCAGGAGGAGGTGCAGAGTGCGGGAGGGGGCTCAGGGCAGGAGGTTGGGGTGCAGGAGGGCATCAGGGTAGGGGGTTGGGGTGCAGGAGGGGTGCAGCAGGGGGCTC